TATTGCCCTCTGCTACATGCCTCTGAGATGCTGAGGACAGTAAAGATGGAACAGTTGATTTAAAAGATGCAGCTGCGTTGTCAGATAGAGACCGACTATAGTGAAATTTACTTTCATGTCTCGAGAACTCAGTTATAAAAAACTCAAAGGTTATCAGAAAGTGGTCCGAGAGGACTGGATTATGTGGAAAGATTGTTATTTCCTCACACTCAATGCCATAAGTCAGAACAAGGTCCAATATATGATGGCAGGAGTGGGTGGAGCTATGTATTCTTTGAGTAAAACCAATTGAGTCTAAGATATTACTAAAGGCTACATTGAGGCAATCATTTTTGATGTCCACATGAATGTTGAAATCCCCCACTACAATGACCTTATCAATATTTAGCACCAAATCAGATAAAAAATCAGAGATCTGATCCAAAAACTCAGAGTAAGGGCCTGGTGGACGATATAAAACTACAAACAAGAGTGGTTTTACAGTTTTGCAATCTGGATTAGGAAAACTAAGAATAAGATGTTGAAACGAACTGTAACTATTAATCTGTAAGGGACTGATTAATAAGTCCGAATGAAAAATGGTTGCCACTCCTCCTCCTCGCCCTGTACTTCCAGCAATATGATGATTTAAATAATTTGAAGGAGTCGACTCGTTTAAGCTAACATAGTCCTCTTGCTGCAGCCAGGATTCTGTGAGAGAGAGCAAAGAGATCTGATTATCACAAATCAACTCATTAACTAACAAAGTCTTAGAAAAAATGGATCTAATGTTCAACAACCCACATTTAATTTTTCTACTTTTCTGCTCAGTTGAATTTGTTCTAATATTTATGAGATTTCCATGATTTGCTTTATTAAGCCTGATATTTAATCTGTGTGGTTTTGGCCGTGGGCAGGACACTGTCTCTATGGGGTAGTGGGTGGGTAACAGTACAGAAGCTGCAGAGGGGTGGGTTAAACTACGACTCTGCTTCCTGGTCTGGACCCTGGGTTGTCATGGAGGACTAATAAAACTGGCCATATTCCTAGAAAGAAGAGCTGCACCATCCAAAGAGGGATGGATGCCGTCTCTCCGCATCAGACCAGGTTTTCCCCAAAAAGTTTTCCAATGATCAATGTAGCCCATGTGGTTTTTAGGACACCACCTAGACAGCCAGCGGTTGAAGGACAGCATGCGGCTAAACATGTCGTCACTGGTCCGATCAGGCAGGGGGCCAGAGAAAATTACGGAGTCCAACATTGTTTTGGCAAACTTACACACCGAAGCAACATTAATTTTAGTGACCTCCGATTGGCGTAACCAGGTGTCGTTACCGCCAGCGTGAATAACAATCTTACTGTATTTACGCTTATCCTTAGCCAGCAGTTTCAGATAAGATTTAATGTCGCCCGCTCTGGCCCCAGGTAAACATTTAACTATGGTTGCTGGAGTCTCTAATGCCACGTTTCTGACTATGGAGCTGCCAATGATCAGAGTCGGCTTATCAGTGGGTGCGTCACTGAGCGGGGAAAAACTATTAGAAACGTGGACGGGTTTGTGGTGACCCACGGACTGGGTTCTATGCTTCCTGCGTACCGTCACCCAGCCGGCCTGAGGTCCCGGCTGCTCGGGTTCTGCTGGAGGATCGCTACGGGGTGGTTCTTAGCTAGTTAGCCCCGCGCTAGCTAAGTAGCTACGGCTGTTTACGGGCTTTTCAACAGCGCGGAGCCGGGACTCCAATTCCGACACCCTCGCCTCCAAAGCTACAAAAATGCTACATTTATTACACGTACCATTATCACTAAAGGAGGCAGAGGAGTAACTAAACATCTGACACAGAGAGCAAGAGATAGGAGACGGAGAAGCAGAGACAGAAGTAGCCATAGCCGTGCTGAGGCTAAGCTAACTGGACGAGCAAACTGTTCAGTACCAAATAAACTGCGTGCAAACTCAAATGGTTCCCTAAAAGCTAGGTGGAACAACAGAAACTGTATGTTTTAGTGTGCTTTTGTGCTACAATAACTCAGAGATATCCAAGTACAGAGAAATTAAATCAGCTTTAGCGAGCCCCAAACACCAAACAGCTACACGGAGTGCAACACTGAAAACAGGAAACAGGAAACGCCTTACCGCCAGGTGCAGCCAATCAGCAATCCAGTCAAGCAAACGTTCCCGGACTCAATTCAAGGCTCTCCAAGGTGTATCCGTGTGTGTGTGAAACCAAGCTAAAGGCCTGTTACAGTCTCTTATCGTGTGTCTCTCTCTCTCTCTCTCTCTCTCTCTCTCTCTCTCTCTCTCTCTCTCGCTCCCTCCCTCCCTCCCTCCCTCCCTCTCTCCAGGCAGCCTTCTAGCCCCCTGAACTGTGATGTCGTAAATTAGTGATGTGCCTTCACTCTGCTGATATGGTCAACCGATTCATGTTGTGGATATAACCTGTTTTGACCTGAACAGATGTTGGGAGTAGGCATGTGTTATCTTTTATCCTCTGTGGAGTTGGTCAAGATGCTATAAACATAATAAATAAGACATCTTGTCCAGCTAATGCTGGAGATGGCTATTTGATCCTGGGTAAAAGAAAAGGAAGGGGTAATCATGCTACGTCCCCCCCTACTGACCAATGGCTATGAGAGGAGGCGATGTAATCCCAAAGGAGAAGAAAGGGAGCCTGTAGGAGGCACTGAGAGGAGGAAGACCATAAGTGACCGGACATTGTGCTTCATGAGCAGGGGGTGTTGCCATGGAGACTCACCCCTGAAGAAGGCAGAGGGGTGGAGGACAGAGTGTATAAAAGGAAGATATTGGGTCTGTTCAACAGATAAGCTTGATGGGATGAGTGAGAGTCAGTCAGTCATGGACTGAGGTTTTTGGAGAAAGGCTTTTGAGAGTTTTTAGGAGAGAGGGCCTTTGATGGGAAGAGTGTGTGAGGTACAGAGATGGAAAGAAGGAAGCTTTTGCCTTGAGCTTTTTGTCTGTGATAATCTGACCTAGTGTCATTTTTGGAGAGCTTATTCAGCTCAACTTTGCTATAACTCGGTTTATTGGCAAAGAGTTGTTACACTTTTTAACCCGCTGTGTCGGGGTTTCGTTTGGATTATTATTCTTTTTTCTTATTTGTGAAATAAAACCTAGTTCCTTGGATTCATGGAATGAAAAAGGGATTTACGAGTGGGGTCTCCTCTTGTCCGTAACCGAGCAAAGGTGAGATGCTGGTTGGAAATGCCATCCCAAGATATTGATATGTTTCCTCCATCCTAGGGTACAGGTAAAGTCAGTTGTCTCCTCAGCATAAAAGGAACAGCTGGCAAGGGTCTTAACCTGAAGTGTACATAAGCTTCATGGACTGGGGGTGTGTGTAGGTGTGTTTGCGCCTCCTCTTTGTCTGCTTGAACTATTTTTGGTCAGAATTAGAAGCTCTGGGTTTGTGGTGATTGTTGATCACCTCTCTACAGAGTAAGAGTGTTTGTTGGTAAATGATAAATGACCCGCACTTGTATAGCGCCTCTCAGAGTAAGGACTCCAAAGCGCTTTACACTACAGTGTATCATTCATCCATTCACGCACACACATTCACACACTGATGGTAAACTGGCATGTCACGCTCACTACACCGATTACAAGCCAAACCCTGAGATGTTAGTAAAATCTAAAAGAGTGGAGCTAGCCCGGTAAATAGGCTTGTAACATTAACAAATCGCTACATAAATGAATGTTTAACATATTTACTTCATATTGAGGGAAATAAGCTTTCCTAAGTGTCTGAGGACTCTTTTGTAACTGCCCACCACATTCTCTGGTTTCTGATTTGTCCAGAATTGATAAACAAATAAACTTAACCCTCCCACTGTCTTTATGGGTGACCCAGTAAGGAAAGTTGATCATTGAGCAGGATTGATAGTTTATCCCTTGAGGTCCATGTGGCAGGGGTGAGGTGGTGCTCACTCCTCACCCCTGCCACATGGACCCCAAGGGATAAACCATCAAGCCTGCTCAGTGGTCAACTTTCCTCGCTTTGTCACACCCATTAGGACAGTGGGACGGTTAAAAGAGGTAGCACTTCTTCTGTTTGTCAGTTCCAGCAAGCTGTACCTGTTTGGCCAAACTGTTGCAGCAGCACAAAGAACTGTCCTTTTTCAAGGCTAAATATCTTATTTGCTAAGCCTGCAAACAACTCCATCAGATGCAAACTTCATCTGACTGCCAGCAGTCACCTGGGTTGTATCCCATTGGCCAGCCGTGCAAATTCAAAGGAAGCTATGACCTTTGACATTCCAGAAGTCAACCCTTCCCGGCAGCCTGGCCGAATCGACTTCCTGCCAGCTGGACCAACCGTAGTCTCTCACCTGGTGTTGGATGGTTTTTATTAATGTTGATAACTTGGTAAACCTCATTAAACATTCAGCCAGATTTATTTTATAAACCCAAACAGCACACCTTTTTGAGTCACTTAAGCTCTTAAAACAGACAAGGTCATGTTTCATCACAGTTCATTCATTGTCTCGGTTAATATCACTTCGAATCACCATTTATACTCACTTGTTTCAGCATCATCATTAGTCTTAAAATATAGTAATAAATAGATTTTTAAAACTTTATTTTGTCTCATAAAGTGGTGGTTCCCTGACATACCCAAATTACCTAGTTTCATCATCAATGAAATATTAAAGGTTTTTATGGATAATTACTTTTTATTGAATACCTTTATATTCTATTGACAATTTATCAAATGTAACCACTTATTAAAAGTTACAAAAAAACATTGTTGACGTTTTAAAAGAACCAAACAATGCAAGTTTGAAGATTTGTCCAAAACAACTATGAATTCATCATTTTTAACCACAAGTATTTTCTAGATTGAAATGCTATGAGTCTAAAATGTTGGCTCATCTGCGTTCATGTTGTGGGTGAATATTACCAGCCTGAAGATGTTTAACATGATAAGAGTTGAGATGTAGCTACCTTGGAGTCAACAGTAGGTTTTATAATCACACAATCTGATCCCGTTGTTTTGGTTTTCCTTCAGATACATCCGGTCTGAGCGTTCAGTTATCCTTATTAACTTCTGCCTCTCCATCATCTGTTCCAACGCCCTAATCCTGATTGGTCAAACACAAACAAGAAATAAGGTACAGACCACCCAGATGCCCTGTCTCATGACCACACCCATGAGCTGTATGTGCCTCATTAATTATGTAATCCAAAGGGTTCAAATGAAGGAACCGAGGAGCTTTGGCAATTCTAACAAAGCTCTTCGGATGAGAGGTGAATCGTCAAGAAACCAAAGAAGTCCAGCTGCCTTCATTTGAACCCTTTGGATTACCATGACCTGGATGACTTGAGAACCTTCACCAGCATTAATTCTGTTCTTTCTTGTTTCAGATCTTGTGCACCCTGATCGCAGCTTTCCTACATTTCTTTTTTCTGTCGTCGTTTTGCTGGGTTCTGACTGAGGCATGGCAGTCCTACATGGCTGTGACGGGTCGTCTCAAGAACCGCATCATACGCAAGCGTTTCCTGTGTCTCGGCTGGGGTGGGAATGCTTATGTGTGTCCTCTGCCTCTTGCTCCCTCTCTCTGTGTTATTGTTAACCTTTCCTTCCTCCCAGGTCTTCCTGCTCTGGTAGTTGCGATTTCAGTAGGATTCACTAAAGCAAAAGGATACGGAACACCTAGCTAGTAAGCATCTTGTCCCATTCATTTTGAACTCTTTTATTTTACTATTAAAAGGTTATCTTTGAAGTTTTTGTTTCTCTGTGAAGGTTATGAACAGATCTTATCATAGTAAATCCTTACTTGTCATGGATAGTTTGCTGAACAGCCTCTGTTCAGAGAAATACCATTTTGCTTTTTCAGGAATGATGAACTTCTAAAGCTGTAGCTATAAATTGATTTATCTAGTACAGGTTGAATAACTAGTACTCAGGTGTGCACTGCATCTCCTCTGTCACTGAGAGGGATGGACTTGGGGGTAGAGGGGCAGCAGTTCTACAGGTGAGTATACTGACTAAGACTAGGGGTCAACATCAAAACCAAGGACATGAGAGTAACACAGAGACACAGGCAAACCTGCTCAGCTCAATAACAAATGCTGGGAAAGCCATAAGATGCATTTAGTGCCAACCTGTGACAGTCACAGCAATCTAAAAATTTGTCGTTTCCTTGTGTCCAGTGTGCCCTGATGTGTTTTAAACATGTACTTATTACAGCTCATTATTTTGATTTGGCTTTGTTCAGACTAGCCTTTAGCTCATCGCTCCTTTAGAACTCTCTCCCTGAACAGAGGCTGCTGAGGAGTTGGTCTCTGATGGCTGCCATAGAAATGATTTAAAACCTTTACACAAAAACATATTTAAAATGGCTGAACTACTCCTTCAGAGTATTGGAACGCCTAAATCTTGTTGTACCTATCAGATGTTCTTCTCTTTTTACCTCAAACCTCCTCCAGCTTCATTCTCTCTAACAGTATCTCTCTATCTCTGTTTCTTCCCGCTGCTTTCTGGAAGCTGCTGGTTGTCTTTGGAAGGAGGTCTCCTCTATGCATTTGTAGGACCTGCTGCAGCTGTCGTCTTGGTATTTTACTGCATTTTCTTGTCTGTGCCATTCACCATTGGCTTTAGATACTACTCCCATATAACATATGACCATGTCAGATGAAGGCTGCATGCTTTCATCCAATGATAATGCAAATATTTACGTAAAAAAGATTTTTTACTTGCTTTTAAAAAGCTGTTTGAATTGTAAACAGTGGAGCTCACTCACTTTTAGCTGAATACATTGCACCACAGAGAAACCCCAATGTGCTTGAGAGTAAACCAAATGCATTGCTGCCTACTTTTAAGACAAAACTATAAAAGACCTTCAGAAACTGTAGAGAATGACTGATTACTGCCATTTTACAAGGTAACAACAGTTCTTTAAGGAGTATTAGGAAAATTATGACCTTTGTGAAATGAAGATACCGTAAATCCTCTAATACAGGCCCGGGCCTGTATTTGACTCAAGCTCATCAGGCTCCAGGCCTTTATTGGAAGGAGGACCAGAATTAGAGGCAGGCCTCAATTTCTATTTGAGCAAAATGAACTAATGGTTCGCTGGAGTTTCTGACAATTAAAATTGCGCCCACATTTTCAAAGTTAAACACATTTCTTTTAAAAACAGTAGTTTCTGCTTCAGCCCTCTCCCCCCTCCCCCTGCGCAGCGGCCGCAAACTCACTGATGCGCCTGCAGCCTCTCGGAGTTCCTGCTGCTCTAAACATTAAAATAATTATTTCATTTTCTGTTCCTCACTTCTGATTACCTTCAATGGTGTCTGTTTGTTAAAACCAGCAGGTACAAAAACTAACTTGTTTTTATTTGACTATTTTTCTGTCCTGCCTGTTTATTACCTTCCTGCATCTCCTCTCAGTCCTAAAGAAAAACTGCTACCTGGGTTCATATATATTCAGCTTATGAGTTACCTTTGAACTGCAGTTCTAAAAGATCTACCGACCGCAAAAACAGCGGAGTGCTCGCCGGCCACATCAGTTAGGTGCGTCACCAGAGGACAAAACAGGTGATGCGCCCTGATCCACAGCAGCGAAACGCATCAGGCACAAATAAAAGAATAAAAGACAGAAAATATACAAGGAAATGAGCCGACATGGACGATCGCGTGTTAAATTAGTTTTTGAGGTGGCGACACCTGACTTGATAATGTTACTGTGGCCGTGCTCAGGACGCAGATGTCTGGAGCGCTTCAACAATCAGAGCTTTGCACGCACAAGCTGGTAAGGTTAGGATGGGGGTGAGGGGAATGTTAAATTGCAAGAGGGTTAACATCACAATTTGGTTAAATGTCCATTTTACGGCGGGTGTCGGTACCGACGCTCTGGCACAGCGCGTTGCCTCCCGACGCGCAGGAGCTTGTCACCTGCTGACAGCAGGCTGCTGTCTTTTCCGAGGACTGCATCTTGCCGGTCATTATCACGTGACAGCGACTAGTCGATGACGGGCATAAAAAGTCACTATAGAGCGGTGAAGTCGACTAGTGACTAGTTCATACAACCCCTGCTACTGCTCCCCAGAGTGTTCTGCAGCATAATCAGCACATTCGCTTTGAACTTGATATCAAATTTTCGCCTCCTCTTCGTCTCCACACGGTTAAAGTTACCCTCGCGGTCTATCACTGGCAAATCAAAAGTGAGACAGATGACACAACCGCCCCCCCTACTTGCTTGTTACCACATTCCACCTGCCCACAATAAAAAACCGGCCATTATTCACCTCCGCCGACTCCGACACCGGCCAAAATATGATACCCGGCAGTTAATTAAATACAGGCTAATATTAGAGGATTTACGGTATCCATGTTTTAGGTAATAAATGAATTGTCAAAGCCCTCTAACACCTCTTTCTTTCTTTCTAATTAAGAATATTCAGTATAATTACTTACAACTGTACCATGTTCAGCGCTTTGGGCTTCCTGACAGGGTTGTGGAAGGCGCTTTATAAATGAAGCTTTGATTGATTGAATACCATGAAAAAGTTGATTTATTTCAGTAATTCCATTCAAAAAGTGAAACTTGTGAATTAGATTGATTCATTACACACAGACTGATATATTTCAAAAGTTTATTTCTTTATTGGTGATGATTATAACTGAAAACTGGTGAAAATCCCAAATTTTGTATCCCAGATTTTTAGAACATCAATTGAGACCAATGCAAAAAAAAATGAATTTTAAAATTGTTGGCCAACTGAAAGGTATGAGTTTGTACAGCACTCAGTATTTAGTTGGAGCTCCTTTGGCCTGGATTACAGCAGCAATATGGCGTGGCATGGAGTCCATCATTCTGTGGTGCAGCTCAGGTGTAAGGAGAGCCCATGTTGCGCTGATAGTGGCCTTCAGCTCTTCTGGATTGTTGAATCTTGCATCTTCCTCTTCACAATACCCCACAGATCTTCTATGGCACAGGTGTCAAACTCAGGCCCTCAGGCCAAATTTGGCCCGCAGTCCATTTTTATTTGGCCCGCAAGATCACACAACAAATATATATTAAAAAGTGGCCTGCTGGCCAATTTTGTTGCAAAGACTAAAAATCCCATATTGCTTTGTGGCGTTACTGCATCTGCCGAAGCACCCTCTCCTTTCTGTTTACTCCCGTTTCTTCAGCAGCGTTACCCTCCTCAGTCTCGGACAAACTAAAACACCCCTTTTACTCAGCGCCAAGTTTACTCCACAATTTGTCCACTTTGAAGCCCAGAAATTGATTTTAACAGCTCAGTAATCTGTTCATGGTTTTCATGAGCTGTATGCCAAAATCATCAATATTAGAAACAATAAAAGGCTTGAACTACTTCAGTTGTGTGTAATGAATCTAATACATATGAAAGTTTAATGTTTATCAGTACATTACAGACAATAATGAACTTCAGTACAATATGCTGTTTTTGAGAAGGACCTGTGTAAAGCCATGGCAAAGGTTTAGAGAATGGCACAAACTGGTTAGCTTCAGTGTTTCTTAGGTTGCTAAAGTAATATTGCAAAACTTTCACAAATTTCAAAGATTTTGTCAATACTTGAAAAGACAAAGTTGATGAGAGTCAGTACTTCTGGTGTTTTCCCTCCTTCCAGATGTCTGTAGTTCACCCTGACCTGCTGCCAACCAGCTTCTAGTCAAGATCCTGACAGAAGGAGCCCATTATTTGTTGTCAATGTTGGGTTTGTTTTTTTTATCATGTCTCTGGAGAATGGACCACAAGTTCTCAGTGGGATTAAGGTCTGGGGAGTTTCCTAGTAAAGCCCTGCACTGAAGCCCTAGGCCCTCGGGTCAGAATAAATTGTCAGTTCGTCTGCATGCGTCGGGGTAATTCTTTCTATTCTTTCTCCATCAAAATAAACGGTCAAATACGGGAACTATCCGGTCAACACAAGCCCTGCTTTTGACTGTTCTGTTTTCTTGTGAAAATTGTTGGAAAGAGATCAAATTGAACTTGATTACTACCAGAGCCAGGCGCACCGCGCCGTCATCTCCGTGACGGTAAATGAGGGAAAAACAAATTGATCGGATCCTGCACGTCTTTTAACACATTGGTCAGGATTGACGCACTTTGTTTTCATTTAGTTGGTAAAAAAAAAAGTTGGGCTCGGGTCGGGCCAGAGAATACTGAAAACCTTTTCGGACCGGGTCAGGCTGGGGCTCCACCCCCTCGGGCCGGGCCGGACACGGGCTCAGATTTTAGACCCGTGTAGGGCTCTGTTTCCTAGACTTGGACCCAACATCATTAATTGTTTATTTATTTATAGAGCACCTTCTTCGACCTTATCATCCGACAAAGGTGCTGAACACAACCATATAACTCACAATAGGAACAAATAAAATGGTGTGTATAGTTAAAAGAAAGATAAAAGCTAAAACCAATCATAAAAACATTAAAAGAATGTTTAATTAAAAACAACCAGCTAAAAAAAACAATATAAGAATAAAATATCAAGGCTATGTTTCAATCCCTGGTGCGGAAACGCCATCACATAAAAAATTAATCTTCAGTCAAGACTTAAAAACCTGAAGCGATGGTGCCTGCCTAACACCCAGAAGTAGAGCCCTGCACTGAAGCCCTAGGCCCTCGGGTCAGCCAGGCCGGACAGCCCGAGGGCCGGGCTTCGGGCCAACGACTGTGTAATTACCTCTGACACGGGCCGGGCTGGGCGCTTTTATTTTTAATCAAATTCATAAAATGTTTTTTTTTTTTTAAACACCAATGCAGCAGCACCTGGCTGCTTCTCATGCACCAGCACCGTTAACTCAGTTAAGGTCTGTGTGGTTTATAAATGCGCCTATATAAAACAATTCTCAAACTGCTGATTGAAACATGTACCCCTATTCTAATATGCCATTTTATGTCCACTTTGATGTCAGAAACCATTAGTTTATTCTCATGAAAATGGCAGCGTTCTATTTTTCTGTGAATAAATTCGCTCTGCAGTAAAAAAAAAAAATACAGCATTCACTGTTGTTTTTTTTTTCTAACTGGAGAGCGGCAGATTCAATTTACAAACGCTAATTGGGGACGTTTATTTAATTTGCCGTTCTGAAAATGCGCGTTGCAGTTGGAAAAATACAGCATTCATTGCTGTTTTTTTCTAACTGGAGAGCGCATTTTTAGAGCGGCAGGTTAAATTTACAAACTCTATAATAATTGGGGGCGTTTATTTAATCTGCCACTCTGAAAATGCGCTCTGCAGTTAGAAAAATAGAATGCTGCTTTTTTTTCTAATTGCACAAGAGCGCATTTTCAGAGCGGCAGATTAAATTTACAAACGCATCCAATTAATATAGTGTTCGTAAATTTCATCTGCCGCTGGAAAAATACGCTCTGTTAGAAAAAAAAGCTGCATTGATGCTGTTTTTCCTTCTTTTCTTTTCTTTTCTTTTTACTGCAGAACGCTTCTCACAGATAATTAGAACGCTGAGCATTCTATCACGCCAAAACATTATGAAAGGTTAAAAAAAGTCGGGCTCGGGTCGGTTCAGAGAATCCTGAAGACCGGGTCGGGCTGGGGCTCCATCCCCTCAGGCCGGGCCGGACACGGGCTCAGATTTTAGGCCCGTGCAGGGCTCTACCCAGAGGTAACCCATTCCAGAGCATTGCAGCGAGAACCCCCCCCCCCCCCCCCCCCCCCCCCCCCAAAATCTGTGTTTTGGAGCATGGGACCACCAACAGCTTCCACTCAGCCGAAAGAAGAGACCGAGATGGGACATGTCTGTGCAGTTGTGCTGACAGACAGGAGGGAGCAGTGCCTTGAAGAGCCCTGTACACAAGTAGGAGGATCTTAAATTTGGCTCTGTACTGCACTGGGAGCCAGTGTGGGTCCGCCAGAACTAGAGTGATATGTTCCCGGCATCCAATGCCTGTCAGAAATCTCACAGCTAAGTTCTTGATGAGCTGCAACCTTGCAAGAGGCTTGATCCTAGACAGGCTTCGCAGATTGAAGAACTGTGTTAATTTGGGTTTTGAACTTAAGATCTGTCAATTTTTATCCCATGATTATTCACAACTTTATTATCAGATGGTACCAAAGTGCCAAGATTTATATCAAAGCCAGTGCCACCTAATCTGCCAGGACTAAGAATTATGACCTAAGTTTTAGTGTCATTCAGGAGTAAAAAGTTAGAAGCCATGTGGATCTAACATTCCTTAAACAGTCCAACAGTGGAAAGACAGATTCCTCAGCCCCCCACCGGAGTAGAAGATGGATCTGGCAATCATCAGTGTAAAGATGGAATTTGACACCATGCCAATGAAGGAACAGCCCCTGGCTGGAGAGTGGATTCAAATGAGTAAGCTGTTTACAGTTAAAATGGGATTTATAAATGACAAGCAGTCCACTGCCTCTGCCAGAAGACCTTGGGAAAGTAAAACAGTTATAATCCACTGGAAGTAGTTCCAGTTTCAAAAATGTTGATGTTTTGTTCCTGATCCAATTAGTTCTGACTTTATCCTTCTAGACCAGTGCTCAGCCATGCTGGAGAATACATGGTTTATCACCAAACTGTTGTTGGATGGTTAAAGGAGTTCCTGAGGGAGACTTTTTAGGTACCATTCTTTATTCATACCTGACCAGAGGCTAAACTGAGAGTGAGTCCATTCCCGTGGCTGAGAAACAATCCCCCAACCCTCATGGGTTTCTAGAGAAGTGGCTTCTTTGTTGCCCTTCTTGACTCCAGACCATTCTCCAAGCCTTCCCCTCACTGAGCTGCAGATGCTCTCATACGTAGTAGAGCTTGTTCAGGTGGTGCTGGTAAAATGTGTGATTAACTGCAACTCATCTGACTCTGGATATTATACAATTTGACACAATAAAAACTTTATGACAACTAATATTTGTGTAATTCTCTAAACCATTGACCACAGCTGCACAAATGTTGTGTTGCTGAGCAGCCAAAGCGGTTCGCTCACTGACTTACTTCACAACTTTCTTTCGAACCGACAAATTAACAATTTAATTTGAATGTCTTTTTCACTCAAGCTGTTTCTCTAATGAAAAACTTCAGACCAGCTGGCAGTTCTTCTGAAGACAGCTCTGAGCATCAGCATAATTTGTTTTGTAGAAGTGAGTTCCCAAAACAAAAACAGTAAAAAACTCCACGATCGGTAGTGTCTGGTTTCATCAATTTGGTTGTAGTTTGACCTATTTATGATTAGTTTGATCCCCCTCCCTAACATTTAGCATGTAGCACTATTACTTCTGGAATCTGTAGAAGCAGCTGTGTCTGTACCTAGTTTACCTAGAAAGTTCTGGGAGTAATTTCCATGCATGTCATTGTGATTGCTCTGACATGATGACCACCACCATCAATGTTTATGTCACTAGAGCTGTGTTGCTTGTGTACAATCTGACCAAAAATTTGCTGTGATTTAATCATTTGTCTTTTGTCTTTGGCAGGTTAACATGGTTATTGGGATTCTCGTTTTTAACAAACTGGTGTCCAAAGATGGCATTACTGATATGAAACTAAAGGAGAGGGCGGGGTATGACTTAAAGCACACATCCATTATACACGGCAACCTCTAACCAGCCTGAGCAGTTATTGTCTTATTGCCTAAAATGATATTTGGGTGAAATGCTGCACATTGTGAAATTAACTAAAGCTTCTGAGTGAGCTAACCAGAGGATAACAAGCAGTCTGGTTATTGGTCTTGCACAGACTGAGCAAGTTGAGGACTCATTTCATTGCTTTCTTTTATGTTTCGAGTGTGTCGTGTTCTCCTAAAGCTGCTTTTTATTTGCAGGTGTTTTGCTTGATGTTAAAGCTCTTTGAAAACCATCCGTCTTTGTTTCTTCTTGGTTGTTGTTTTTTTTTTTCAGTAAAAGGGAGCAGAGTTTTATTGAAAAAATAAATGAATCCTGCCTAGGTTGTCTTCTTTTGATTATAGCAACTATAAATTGAACTTGATTCATTATGAAATATTATCATTAGGCTTGAACGGCGAAAGCGCTCCGAGCAGCGAAGCTGCGAATGCCTATTGTATCTGCTCTGTTTTTTTTTTCTTCTGTGTCTTTGAATGGCTTTTTGGGAGTCTAAGCATATCCAAAATCTCACCAAATTCTGGCCCAATATAGAAAGTGCGTGAAATTTACGTATTTCAATGGCGATGTGAAGGTTGCTAAAAAAGTAGCTTGACAGCGCCCCCTTGAAAATTAAAAATACCCCTCCGCTTTGACCTTTTTTTATAGTAGAGTGATGAAATTTGGTACACTTGTAGAACTCAACAATACGCACAGAAAAGTCTCTTGCACCCATGGTCAACATCAAACAGGAAGTCTGCCATTTTGGACTGAAGTAGCGATTTTGACCTCGTTTTGGCCATTTGTAGGGTCTGTATTTGGTTGCACAGTTTGGTCATTTTTCGCACCATCGTCTCAAAAATACTGTGCGATCGATCTGAAGGGATGGACAAGTTAAATGAGAAAATAAAACTTACTTTTCTTGAATACTGAAGGGGCGCGGCCAGGCCTCGAAGTTTGAGCACTCGCCAAAAAAATTCAAGTGGCTATAATTTCATAAATGAAATAATTATAGTTAAAAAAAACATTTTTATGGACATTCCTCATTGGCCCCCGATGAAAAACGAATGGTCTATTGATGATGTTACACAAGCCCTGCCCCCTCAGGACTAAAAAGGTCAAGTTTTACTGTGAAATTTCCCGAATTATGCCATTTCGTATAATCACCACAAACTTGTAGCAGATAACTGAAGACAAGTTGGGGTTTCTGGGCCTCACTTTACGGGAGCTTTCAAAAGACACCGCGGCGGTGATGGTGCGGCGAAGTCAGGCGTAACGCCATGGCCATACGATTGACTCTCATTTAGGCAATTCTAAAGCTATCGCCACAAAATTTCTGATGAGTGATCCTAGTATGATCCCCAATAAAATTTGAAATCAAAAGTCAGTAGGCATGGCCAATTTTTTTTAAATTGCGCCCCTAGCACCCTTAAAAGTGCCAGCCCCAAGCCATGCTTTGACTGAGGATTATGAAATTTTGTACACTTATATAGTGTCTCAGGACATACAAAAAACTCTCTTCAAGCCATGCGCAATATCTCATAAGAAGTGGGCCATTTTGGTCCAAGTACGCCATTTTATATTTTTTGCACACTTCAAAGGTACGTTAGTCCCCAAGCACCCTTTACCCCCATCACCTTCATACTTCTGCTTAAAACTCTTAAGACCAAGCGGGAAAAAACTGAACTTACGGATTTTCCAAAACTCTAATGATGTGGGCGTGGCTAAACCTCAAACATTGACCTGTCACCACACCATGCTTATAATTTCAGAGCTCCCTATTGGACTCCTTTCAACTATTCAACAGCTATATCTGCCTAATAGCAGTATAGAAGTTGGGGTCACTTGATGTCTTGCACTGGCAGGTTTCAAAAAAGGGCAGGACCCTGGGAACATGGCGGAATTCGCCATCACGCCATGGAAATATGTTTGCTTCTCATTTCCTCAGTTCTCACGATATCACCAAAAGATTTCTGGTGAGTTATCCTAGTCTGACCCCCAATATAAATACATTTTGTAAGCTGGTGGGCGTGGCCTTTTTTCTGAAATAGCGCCCGCTACGACCATTAAAACTCTCAGCCCCAAGTCATGCTTTGATTGAGGATTGTGAAATTTTGCACACTTATGTAGTGTACCTGGGCCTACAAAGAAGTCTCATGGAGCCATGCTCCATATCCCACAGGAACTCGGCCATTTTGTTCCAATTACGTTCCAGAGTTTCTTTCGAAGCTGGAATATTTTGCTAAAGTAGAAAATTTTTAGTGGGGACTGTTGGCAGGCTAGGATGAAAGGTTGAGTCAGATTGAGATGACAGCTGACAGTGATCACAGTTAAATGCACGCTGGGGTGTCTGGTGCGCATGGGTGCTCGTGCGCCACCGGTTGCAAGGCGATGGGTTGGGAGAGCATCGGGGATGGAGTGGAGGGGGTGCAGATGGACGGCGTGCAACTTCGCTGCGAGGGCCGAACAACGCTGCTTGCAGCTTTAATTAGGCCCGAGCAGCGAAAGCGCTGTGAAGGCCTATTGTATCTGCTCTGTGTATTTTTCTTCCACCAAGTAAATTGGCTTTTTGGAGGCCTTAACATACCCGAAAACTCAATTTTTGCACACATGTCAGGCGTGGTGTAAAATTTGTATTTTAAAGGTCCCAAAAAAAAATAGCAATAAAACTAGCTCCACAGCACCACCTAGAATGTGAAAAATACCCCCCTCCAAACCTTAGTTTGTTGTACAGTTATGAAATTTTGTACACTTGTAGTACTCAACAGTCTGCACAGAAAAGCCTCTGGCAACCATGGTCAACATCAAACAAGAAGTCGGCCATTTTGGTTTGAATTGGTGATTTTGGCCGTTTCTATGGTCCGCTTCTGATTGATTGACTCGAACATTTTTAGCATGATCGTCTCGAAAGTTGTGGGAAATTGCTCAGAAGGCATGAGCGATCAAATAGAAAAAATAAAACTGACTTTTTGTATATGCTGAGGGGGTGTGGCCAGGCCTCAAGTTCGACTACTCGACAAAAAAATATAAATGGCTATAACTTCATACTTGAATAGAGTTTAAAAAAATATGTGGTC